GTGCCTGATAGACTAGCACAGTTAAGAAATGTGGAGTATTTGCTCACTGCTTTGACATTATATAAGTTAGAATACTGGTAGTATGTTAATTAAAGTACAGGTACACGACTATATAAGCCAACACAGAAGAAACCTTTAAAAGGGTATTGTTTTGAGACATCTGAACATTTGGATGATGAGAAGTGATTATAGTAAATGACTAAATTAATAAAAATAAGTTGGATTTCTTCTTTCTGCTTTATGAAAAACAATCATACAAAAAATGAAAAAATGATAGATAGTTAGGAATGATGAGGACAGTGAGAGTAGTTGGTTGGCATTGTCTTTCTTTGCTAGATTTATCCATGACCCTAAAAGTATTCATTTAAAAGATCTATCTTTAAAGATCACCGTAATGAATGAATTTGGAAACAGATGTTGACAGTTCAGTTATGTCACCTGCCATTTTGATGTTCTCTCACTTGTCACACAAATTTCAACTAGTTTCGGGCGCCTGGGTGGCTCAGTTGGTTAAGCGACTGCCTTCGGCTCAGGTCATGATCCCGGAGTCCTGGGATCGAGTCCCGCATCAGGCTCCCTGCTCAGGGAGGAGCCTGCTTCTCCCTCTGACCCTCCCCCCTCTCATGTACTCTCTCTCTCTCTCATTCTCGCTCTCTCAAATAAATAAATCTTTAAATAAAAAAAAAAATTTCAACTAGTTTCATCCTTTGATTTATAGTAAGTCAACCAGTTTTATTACTGTTGGCATAGCCTAATGTATTCAATGTAAGATTCAGACAAAAATCTCCCGAATTATATGCCAATACTTTCCCTTAATTTAAAATGCTTTACTAGAATATTAGCTTTCCTGTTTGTATTTATTTCTTTTCTGGAAAACTTTCATTTATAGTAGAAGTCTTTGGGTTATATAAAATTAAGTTATTAAGCCTCTGGATGATTCTACTGATTAAAATTTGAATGTAATGTTAACCAGCATTTTAGGAAGCTTTCTAGTTGTATTATATAAAATATAATATTTTAGACAATTATTTTAAAAATCTCTGAAGCTATTTGAAACTGCCAGTTTAGATTATTTTAATGAGTTTCGTTTTCCTAGCTCTTTTTATTTTTATAATGTGGTAAAAATTGAGCCCATTGTTCTCCCAGAGCCCTGTTCTTCTGCATATTAAATAGTGACTCCATTCATTGGAACTTTACGTTTTTTTAGGGTGTCTAATTGAAAAAATACTAGGCTTGTGACATTTTCAATCCTTAGTTGTCTTTTCTCCCACATCTCTTGGGGTCTCTTATCTAATAGGCCAGCAATTAAAAATACTGTACAGAAAATGACATGTATTGAGTACCAATCCCCATGTAAATACATTGTGATAAAAATTGCACCAGTTGGGTGCCTGGGTGGCTCAGTTGGTTAAGCGACTGCCTTTGGCTCAGGTCATGATCCTGGAGTCCCAGGATCGAGTCCCACATGGGGCTCCCTGCTTGGCAGGAAGTCTGCTTCTCTCTCTGAACCTCCCTCCTCTCATGCTCTCTATCTCATTCTCTCTCTCAAATAAATAAAAAAAAAAAAAAAAAAATCTTAAAAAAAAAAAAATTTGCACCAGTTAACATTTCATGATTATTAAATGGAATGAATTTTAAACATAGGAATGGTGATTGTGTTGTACATAGGTAACTGGGTTTTGTTTCGTTTTGAGTTTTCATAATAAGTGTATTTCCAAATCTCAGTTATGTTCTTTTTTAGTGCTTTTGCTTTAGTAATTGATAGATTACTTACATTCTTAGAGGCTGTTTCTACTGAATGTCAAAACAGCTCATAAAAAGTGAAAATTCAGTCAAATACTTACTTTATGTTGTATGAATTTAAAACAGTGCCTCAAACATTATTTTTTAATTTAAAGAAAGAGAATCCTAAATTTAAGTCAGATAAGCTTGTATGCGTTGGCATGTAGAATATATGAATTAATGTAAAACTGTGATTAACTTGATACTTGGAAACTCAATAGTTTTGAGGGGCTGTAATCTTTAAGTCATTAGATATCAAGGAAAAATACTTAAGAGTAATAATTTAATAATTAAATAAGCTATTATTTCAGTCTTGTGAGAATTATGGTTGAGAATTAAGATTTTTTTTCCCCTTTTGTGTCCAGTCAGGGGCATACACTAGTTCATATTGGCAATTCAAAAATAAGGGTTGAAGTAATAAGTTGTTAACTACAATGCCACTTTCCTTGAGCATTCCAGTTAGTCTAGGTTTTACTGTATATTAATATTATATATCTGGCTCATGTTACTCAGCAGACAGTCACATTGCTTTTCGCTTTTTAAACTCTGCTGTTTCGTATTTTGAGACATCTAATTTTACTGAGGGGAAAAATGGAAATGTGGTATAGAGCCCTGTTATATAGTGGCTCTAAAGGTACAGAAATGCATTTCCGTTTTTGTTATAAGCTATCCATTCTTCCCTAACTTAACGCCCGTTCCTTGCTTGTGCCCTTTGGTTTAACATTGTTCTCCTCCCCAATTTTCCTCTTCTCCTCATTGTAAACTCATGGCAGGGTCTGCTTGGTGAGCTCATTCTCTTACAACAGCAAATTCAAGAGCATGAAGAGGAAGCACACAGAGCTGCTGGCCAATATAACACCAGCTATGCCCAACAGAAGCTCAAGGTGATGGATCATTTAAGGGGGCTACTGATGTATTCACACTAATCAGTCATTTCTACCAAGATCATATCACCTTAATCCATTCATGGACTCCAGTGATGGGAAATTATTTTTAACAAAGTAAAAATATAAAAGATACATAATACAAATATGTAACTTTCCTGAAGTGGATAAATAAACCCAAAATATTAAACATAGGAATTTTCTCAAACTGAGATTCTCTGTGAGGGTCCATGGATTTGTATTTAGAGAAGAATTATGAATTGTGGTTTGCTTGGTCCAGTTATTGTATCAAGTCACCCTCAGTTTTTAGCTTGTCTGTGGTTCTCCCAAGTTTTCATTCCTAAAGTGTAAAGGACTGCTGTGGACAACCACTATTTAAATTATTTAAAGAATGAAATTTGCTTGTTTTAGTAAAGTGGGTCAGCAGAAAACATGGTTATTTCTTATAGAAAAAAAACTATTTTGGTATAAATTTTGGGCAAAATTATTCGAATACCTGATAAAATCATTGATTAAGTTTTTCCACAATCATCAGTGAAGTCAGCACAAATAAATTTTCACCTTGGACTACCGAAGGATTGAATACTGGAAATTTGATACGATTTGGGTTGCTGAAGAACAGATTCTAATAAAAGTCAGCATAAATCTGTACAAATGTTTGGTTTTAGGTATAATCAAGAAGTCCTTAAAAGGATGCTTTGGCTGTTAGATAGTCCCATGGTGTAGATCCCAAGGTTAATGTTCTGAAGAGACTTGAGTCAAAATGAAATGAATGTACTGACTTTAAAGTTACATTCTGAGATCTTGACATCAGCTTAATTAGGTTACATATATTAGATCAGGAAAGTTTTAAAAGTCATACACAAATTTTACTCAGGAAAAGAGATTCAGCCATTTAATTAGCTTCCTGTAGATTCTGGTTTGAAGTCAACCAATATTATAAATAATGATTTGATGCAGTAATTTTGCTTACTAACCTTACCTCATTTGGTGATGGGTAACACTTGAGAGTACTCCTCACAGTTTCATTTATCTTTTCAGTCACTTCCTGGCTTTTCTCAATTCCATGGCTGTAGAATCAACTCCTGTATATTTAGCTTTCAGTGAATGAACAACATAGGTTGAAATCGAAAGTAAGTTATTTTCCTGTTTGGTTGAGTTAAAGTAGATGTGTTAAACCAAGGAAGGGCTTATTTTAAATGGTGCTTTAGCATTCTCTGCTCTGTATGTCATTGAAGTGCCATTTAAATATTCTAACAAATTGGATGCATAAGTTGAGCCATCTGTTCCTTAGGTTTGTTACAGAAAGAAGGGGAAAGAACTGGTATGTTCTCTTATGTTAGTTAGAAATATGAATAGCTCTAGTTAGAAGTTCTTGTTTTTTCATAATGGTAAAATAATTTGAAATGAGTCCCACAGATCTGCCATTCTAAGATTCTAAGATACGGTTTAAGATCATCGATATACTTTTGAATCGGATGATTTAAGGGATATTAGTAGTGAGTAATGTTCATTTTCTGCATTGCCCAAGGTTAGTGTTCATTTGAGGCCTACTTTACTAGGCAGTTTTCAGGTTCAGAGATCTCATTTCTCTTTCTGAGGTCATCAGATTGTCCATGTAATCTTTTATTCCGCATTTTCCCCCTTTGTAAAATAGCAGCTGACAGGACTGCATCTCCATGTGGTGTGGTTTATTGAGGCGTACTTAGTCGAGCACCAGGTAGTCTGGCCCACTCTGGAGTTACCCAGTGCGAAAGTAAATGGAACTTCAAAAGCAATTCACGCTCTTCTATAATGACATCATTCCCCTGGCTGTCCCTAAAGATCATTTCCTTACTGCATCTTCCCCCTTTTCTCCCTGTAGTGGGTACACAGGTGACTTTTTCAGCCCTTCACTGTCCTCATGATCCGAATCCCAATTCGTGAGATTTGTGTCATTCCTCCAGGCATTTGAGGTTTTCTTGAGGTGCAAAACCACAGCTTTTTGTCACTTTTTAATCATTCTTCCTCCCTTACCTTCTTGAAAATGTAAGTAGGCCTTCATTTTTTTATATCTTATTAGTAGCAGCTAATAAGCTGTCCCTATCGCTCATGTAGACAGTAGATTCAAACTGCCTTTGGTAGTTTTGCCTCCTGTGAATACATACACATACATGGAAATGTTTACGAGTCCTTTACCTATGTATTTCGGTATTTCGGAATGGCCACAATGGCTTAGTAGGAAGAAATACTTAAAATACAACACTCAGGCTTGGTTTTGTGAGGAGCTAGTAAAGGTTTTTCTTTTTCAGCTTTAGCTTGTTTCTGCGGAGGATTCCGCTCTTTCTCCATCAGATTCACAGCCGTGGAATTGTAGAAAAGCTGTGGTTTCAAGACCATTGATACCCATTTCTGTCAGGGTGAGTTTCAAATTAATTTCATAATGCAAACTGAATATATTGAACAATGGACAAGAACTTAACTCTTGTCGTAAGTAGCAGAACTTTACCAGTAAAATGCATCAACATTAAATATACCTGGATTAGCTAGTTAAGATATTGAATAAGTGACAGGTGAAAAATCATATGTGCTATTCCCGTAAGAAAATACGGAAAAGTATCTTTTCATTATCTTTAATATTTACTTTGTAAACCTAAAGGTTTTCATCTTATTTCCTAGAATGTATTAGGTCTGATTCCCGATCCACCACCACACCTGTCTTTTAATATGTTAATTCTGATGTTCCATTAAACTGAGTAGATAGGAAGCATAGTGATAAAACTACACATGAGTTATGCCTAACACTTGTGCCAGAAGGGCAAATGATAAATCCAAAGACTTCTAAAAATCCAAATTTATAAAAATCTTAACAGTCATCGTTACTAAATTACTAATATTAGCATAAAGATTGTGATAGTCTAATAACCTTGTATCATTTTAACTTTTTATAGACCCTTTTTATTTTACCAAATTACCAAGTTAACCTTCTATAGACCTTGGTTTACAGTAAGCATTCTAACTTTTTTGTGTAATTGTATTAGTTACTTAATTATTGTCCCAGATGTAGAGTACTAGTGGATTTTCTATTATAATTTAGGATATATTGCAGAAGTCATTAAGTATTCACATTCAAAGCTAAAACAGTTTATACTAATACTGCTTATACATTTCATACTAACTTAGCTGCAGTCGGATGAGTATTTAATAGAACAGTTACCTTTTAAAATGAATTGGGAATTTACACAGCAAAATTTTTATGACCACATTATTACAGCGTGATGGCATGCTGTATGAAAACAATATGGAATTATTTATTTCTTCATCGGTCTTCAAGATTTTGTTCTTTGGGTTATTGGTGCCTTCTCAACTTGCTTGTTTCCTCATATTTTAGCAGACTATTAATAATTCTTGTCCATTTTACACAAACACGGTCAAATGAGAAAGCTTCTCTCCATAAGTCTCTGCTTGCTGTACAAGAATGAGAAAACAGTAATACAAATTTTGTTTTATATTTTCTTCAGTCATAGACTTTTAAGGAAAAAATAATGCTTGTAGCAAGTATTATTTTTATTTAAAAGAAGTTTGGGGAATATTTTGAGAAACTATTTGGAAAGAGGAATTAAAACCTCAAAATAACTTTTTGTGTGGATAAGAGTTATTAATATCTACCTCAATAAGTAAATCATTTAAAATCTTTTCATATCTAGTTGCTACCATAATGTCTTGATTGCTTAAATAGCCATTGAAGAAAAGTGAACAAGGACTTACATGAATTTTATCTTGAGTTTTGTCTCCTATGAAATAAATTCATGTTTATGAATTTTGATGATCAGAAATTAGACAATTATTTTGAAAGACTGAGTATGACAACTTCTGCACCTCACCAAGGAGTCAAAGCACAGTTATATGGGTTTGTCATAAATGATATCATTTTAATAAAATTGATCATTATGTTTTATATTTTGAATTATACTGTGACTAGAGCCTGTTAATGTAATAAAGTTCTTTGTTGTTTTGGATATTTTATCTTAGAACTATTAGCTTTAGTAACAATTGGAAGTAGTTTCCACAATAGCTGTAGATTTTATCCTACTTTTGTTTTATGTTTAAATCAATTTTAGTTGCCTTACTCAACTTTATTGCTACTGCATTCATTCTATTATGGGTTAGCAGATCTTGCACTGGAATTGAATTTAAAAACAAGCAACTGGTTCCACTTAAAGCTCTGAAAATACAAGTTGTTCTTTGCATTTATTAAATACTTCCCTACTTACAGAATAGAAATGGGTAATAGATACTTAACATATACACTATGACTAGTGAAATTTTTTCAGTAGCTGTAAATGGTAACATGCATCTGAGTTCCCAAAACACATTTCTGCAGGTGTCAATGCTCTTTTTCTCCAAGCATCCAAATGCCTGGGGTTGAGTATAAAACAACCTATGAAAACTATAGTAACCATATGTGTTGATCTCTTATTTTTCTAATGAGCCATTCATCAGAAATGACGAGAATAGCATCTGGAAAAGGATTGCTTTTTAAGGCTTTTACGTATTAATACAGTTACAAAATTTTGATAAGCAATTTTAGTGTTGAATACAGATCTTTTGACTTTATTAAATCATTTGATTTAAAATTTGCTTTGATTAAATATGCATGTAAAGTCAGTAGTTTTTAAAAATACTTTTCAAAAAATTTAACTTACTGTACATTTTATGTAAATCTATTTCTACTGAAATAAAATTAATTTATTTAAATATTTAGGTGACAGACAAAGAGAAAATTGACCAGCTTCAAGAAGAACTTCTGCATACTCAGGTAATTCTGATGAGTAGAATGAACCAGGGACTTTAGGGGCACCTGCAAGCCTCAGTCATTTAAGCATCTGCCTTAGGCTCAGGTCATGATCCCAGGGTTCTGGGATTGAGCCCCACATCGGGCTCCCTGCTCAGTAGGGAGTCTGCTTCTCCTCTCTCTGCCTGCCACTCCCCCTGCAGAGAGAGAGTGTGCAGGCTCTCTCTCTGTCAAATAAATAAATAAAATCTTTAAAAAAAAAAAAAAAAAAAAGAACCAGGGACTTTATCTTAAGTTTGATAATGTGGGAATTTTTTTAAGAGAGTAAAATTTGGAGTGGTTTGATGATATGACCTTATAAAAAGATGTAAAAAAAAAAATGCAAAAAACTGAGAAATAAGGAATAAAAAAGAAACTTGGTAAATGTGGTTTAACTCCTTTATTTGTAAAAACCTATTTTTGAGTGAATCTTGTACTTCTAATTTTAAAGGAAAACTGCTATGGAAAAAAAAGTGGGGAAGAGTAACTTGTTCTTACGTAGACCTCTGCTTGCATTTTTACATTGATAGACTAATTTAAGTCATATAAGAAATTGATTTGAGTCTACTGTAGTTCTAATCAGCCCTCAGTATCTTTTCCCTTTACTTCTCTAAATCCCTAAACTAATCAGATAATGACTTTTCTAAATGTATTTCTGGCACTAATTTGAAAAGCTCTTCTCCTGTAGTTTGTTATAAAACTTTCATTATTTTAAAGTTCTGTGCAATCTGATGAGTAGGTAAATTCTAGTACAAAATTGCCATATCACACACTCCATCATTAGTTAATATATTGTTATGATTACTACTATATTATGATGTAATATAAATATAATAATATATAATCTAGTTATGTTAACTTACATGAATAACAATGATGTGCAATAATTAAGAAGTTTTTGTCTTGGGGTGCCTGGGTGGCTCAGTTGGTTAAGTGACTGCCTTCGGCTCAGGTCATGATCCTGGAGTCCCGGGATCGAGTTCCACTTCGAGCTCCCTGCTCATCAGGGAGTCTCCTTCTCCTTGTGCCCCCCCACTCCCATGTGCTCTCTCTCTCTCTCAAATAAATAAATAATAAAATCTTTAAAAAAAAATAAGTTTTTGTCTTTGAAGAAAACTTTTTTTAAGGGGGTCTCTTTTTAGGGAAAAAATACAAGAGACAACCTAGATGAAATTAAACAGTATATTTTGAGTCACAGGTTTTTCTTAATATCTTTGCATTGATTTCGTTGATACCTATGCATTGATCCTCATGCCTGACTATACCATAGAATCACTTGTGCTCTGGCCATCTCCATACATATATTTTTAAAGGCTTCCCAGCCAAGCAATTGTAATCTTCAGTTCAGCCAGAGGTTAGGAATCATTGGTCTCAAAGTGTGGTCTCTGGAGCAGTTGCATCAGTATTTTTCCAGGACCTTGTTAGAAATGCAAATTATTGACCCCTTCCAAAACCTCTTGAATCAGAAACTGTAGAAGTAAAACCCAGCAATCTTTCTTTTTAAAAGCCCTTAAATTATTCTGATGCATCCTTAAGTTTGAGAACTATTAGTCTAGATCTTTGGAGGACAGCTCAGTAACACATCTCTGCAGAATGGCTGAAGATTGGCACCTATACCAAATGTTCGATCCCCAGAAAATGTAGACCCCATAATTGATTCCGTATTTACAAAGAAATGAGCCAGTGGAAATCCTACCACCCTTACATATTCATTGATATCAACTCTTTGACTTGTGCAGTTTGTAGTGTCAGCCAGTGGGCATTGACACAAACACTGTATGAAAAATTCCTAATACTATAATAAGCCCTAAGGTTCTCTATATCAGTGATGTGCAAGAGAAATATAATGCAAACCACATGTGTAATTTAAAATTTTTACATTCCAAAAAAGGTAAAAAGGAATAGGTAGGACTGATTTTAATAATATATTTTATTTCACCCAGTAAATTCCAAATTAGTATCATTTAAATGTGTAATTAGTATAAAAATAGTAATGAGGTATTTTATTCATTAATTTACTGAATCATAAAAGTCTGGTATGTATTTTACACTTAACAGTACATCTCAGTTCATACTAACTACATTTCAGAGTGCTCAACAGCTCCAGTGCCTAGTGGCTACCATATTACACAGCAAAGATCTATTTATGTCAGAATTTTGTTGTATATGTTATATATACAATGTATAAATGAACAAGGATTGTTAAAAAATGTTTATAGTAGAATCTAGCTTCTAGTTCTGTCTCATATTACAGAGTTCTGTAGAATATGCTTTTTTAAAATTTGACTATAGTTGGACATTCTCTGAGGATAGACCCCTGATTTCCTGTTAATTTACTTTGTTCTTGAAAGATTACAACAACCTAAAAATTTTCCTAAGAATGATTTTCCATTTTGAAAGGCATGATATTAGAAGTTGGACATAAACGTTCTGCTGGTTGTAGGAACAGGTAATTCTTAATAGTGTCTGAACATTATTCATGTTTAGAGAAGAAATGATGGTATACAAACTGAAATGACCAAGTAGAAAAGGATCACATTTATTTGAGAAGAAAAGTGTATAGCTAAGCATCTACTTTGGCAAAACAAGCTGTCTACATGTATTAGTCTTATTTAAATCTGTTTTTATATCAGTATTTTAAAAATTAATGTGTCATCTCTGGCCTTGGTAACCAAAATTTGGAGTTTGAGCTCTTGACTCTGCCTATATTCAAAACCCTGTGACCTTGGATAGGCTCTCAAGGGTCCCTAACCTCAGGTCCCTAATCTAGGTTACCTTTGCCTCAGGTAAAGACTTAAGGAAGCTAATGCTTGTAAAACACTCAGTATTGGGCCTGTCACATAATATATGCTCAGGTACTATTAGCTGTTGTTATTTTATATCATTTTAATATATAACATAAAATAATATGGGGAATGGGAAGAATTTGAATTTTTGTCAAATATCCCTATAGTAAAGACGTAAATTTTTGATGTAATAGGAAATACTGTTTCAGTAGAGTGTACTTGGGCGCCTGGGTGGCTCAGATGGTTAAGCGTCTGCCTTCGGCTCAGGTCATGATCCCAGGGTCCTGGGATCGAGT